TGGCTCCAGTAGTTTTCATCATGCTACCGCCAATAGACAGAGCAATAAGGCAGGGAGGGTTCCATCCAGTTAAGCTTCATTAACATTGTAACACAAACCTCAGAAGAACACGATTAACGTCTCCTTTAGAATGCCTGGGACGCAGCAACCACTCCGTGAATGCAGATGATTGAAATGTTTGTTTCAAAATAAATTTTGACCAATTTATGGTGGAAACTACTACTTTTTTTTTTCCTCATTGCTTAGATAGTTGCAATCGATGCTCTCGTTCCAATCACAGATGATGGAGTGAACAGTAAAAAGAAATGAATACATCCAACATATTTTGATACAAGGTTTCTTATCCCATCCATCTCAACATAAAAAGAAGATAATCTATGAGCTCTTGCTCTGATTTATCTGCTCCTCAAAGAAAATACAGGTACAGTTAAGTAACAGTGGTTTAAATGGTTGTTGCAAGAGGGAATTTTAACAGAGAAGGGGAAAGATGAACCCATATTTTGCTTTATCTGATGAGTAAACAATTTTACATTCTGTATTCCAAGAGAGAATATATTGAAATAACTGGAAGGCAGATTACAAATATTTTACCAAAGAAACACTGGGATGGTCATACATAACCAGTCAACCACTGTGCTTTGTTTGAAGGAAACTGCAGTATGTCTTCTTAATTGCTTCCTGCTCTGAAAGCAAGCTGGGAGCAAACTGAATCGCATCAGCACACCACTCAACTCTTGTGATGCAAGAAGTCAATTCTGGACTCTGAAGATGGACTCTGAACAAAGCAATTCAGTCTATCAATTCAAGCACTCATTAAACTTCACTTGAAAGTGATTCCAGTAGGGACTGGATGAATTTCTTCACCTTCAGATCTGCTGGCAGCACCCCTGAAGTTGATCTACAGCCAGGAGAAAGAGTAAAGCAAATTTCTCTCCCATAGGCCAAACAGTTGCCAAAGAACTAACTACTGCAGCCTCTGTTTTGATTGAGAGACAATGGATTCTGCATTCATCACTGATTTACGGGAACTAATTTCTTACTCCTTGATGCCACTAAGTGACTACACTTCTATGGATTCTCTAGTAAGAGCCATCTGATGACTTAGAATGCAGTACAATTATACAGAATATCATCAGAAGGATTTCCAAACGATATACATCCTTTGCCATTTTCACTCTATACCTACTAAGTCCAAAATTAAGTTACACAAGAATGTTGGCAGGTTGGATGAAAGAATATTTGAACAATTCTAAAGGACTCTTACTTGACAAATACCTGACAAGAAGCAGGCTACCATAATCAATAAAGATAAACGAGGAAGAGTTGTACAGCTGCAGAAAGTTAGATGCTGTGTACAGAACTACACAACTAAAAGGAAATCTCCGTGATGTTCAAGGTCAGGTTAGAGATTAGGTCTTTTCATTGTTCTTTTTGAATAGTAGTACATTGTATTAGAGCAATCTAGCTACTATGCATCAGTAGCATAACAAAAGCTGCTGCCTACTGTAAAAAGTCAAGATTCCGGGCATGACATGAAGAAACCATACCAAGTAGTCATAAAGTACTCAGCCCTAAGCATTGCTCTGTATAGGTCAAGAAAAAGGATATGGCTCATAAATCATGCTGAGTAAATAGCCAAAACAAAGCGCATTTACAAAGTTACAAAGTAGACCAGCATCTCACATAAAACATACTGGCTGGTAATCTTGTATCTTCTGTGTAAAAAAACAAACAAACAAACCACAAAATAAAACAAAAGAAACTACATCAAATTAACAGGCAAAAGCCAGTGAAAGACCATAAATTGTGAGACACAAGACCATAAAATCAAACAAGTAAAGAGATACTTTTTGCCTGCATTAGTGGGACAGATATGGTCACAGCATGAGTACCATAACTACAACGCTTGTATAAAAGCCACAAACAGTGCTAATACTGTTCCACTGTAATGCCTGCACCCAAAGCAACAGAATCACTTTGTTCCCGTGTCATGATGCTACAACAGTTTTAATGGCACATCACAGAGCAAACATTTAGTGAGCCTTTAATTTCATAGTTGGATCTCAGCGTATCAGAAATAATTTAAACCAAGATCACAGAATCATGGCATGGCGTTGGTTGGAAGGAACCTCTAAGCCCATCCGGTTCCAATCCCATGCTGTGGGCTGGGTGCCCCCCACCAGCTAAGGGCCCACCCAGCCTGCCCTTGAGTGCCTCCAGGGATGGGGCACACACAGCCTCTCTGGACAACAAGTGCCTCATTGCCTTCATCGTGAAGAATTTTTCCTGACACCTATGTACAAATTCCTCAATAGTTCTGATAAACTTATCAAGAAAACAAACATGTCTTAGATACCTAAAACAAACAAACACCTAAGCACTACTTATTTGAAAACCAGAACAAAATTCCCATGATCTAATTCACCAATTTTTACAAACCCAGAAGTTCTACTGCAACAGGAGAGGAAAAAAGTCCCAAATCAGTCATGGTGCAGATGGTTGATACAAAGAATGCTTTACACACACTCTGCATTCAGTTCTTCAGGGAGACAGAATGCACGTGGTGCTAACAACAGCTGTTTAAAACTAGCACAGTCTATAAAGCACGTGGAAAGAAACAGCTCAAAATTATGAGATCTTACTAAACTACAGCTTGACATAGAAAAGATCAAAATAGCCATAAGCAAAGTTATTACTTCATGGCAGTAACGACTTAAAATCCTGGTTATCTAAAGCTCCCCTGTAGCCATCACAGAAGTAGCGTCCCTGCTGTTTTTAGATAGTTTGTACAAGAGAGAACATTTGTCAGATAACATGCCACCGCAAAGTTCTAGCAAGCTGTCTTTGCAGCTCATCACTTGTGGAATCTCCTACAAGCCAGAGCAATGGAACAAGTGCATACATCGTGGATGCAAGGCAAATTCTGGGTAGAAGGCAGGCTATATGTGGTATGAGACAGCAAAGAGTTTGAAGAAATTTATCTTATCAGACGGAATGTAAAACTATTGCAGCTGCTATGGTTACGCACTTGTATTTTAATGAGCAATAATAGTAAATTAGGCAAGAAAACACCTCAGGAAAAAGTTACAGGAACATTGAAATACTCAGAACATTTACAATCTTCAAGTCCCCTTGGAAAACTGCTGCAAACTTGCAATTCTTTCCATTGGTTATTTTAACTTTTCTTTGCCAGTTCCTCAGCCCGTACTGCATGCAGACAGGGAAGCAATTGCAATAACTGCCGCACTGCTACTTACAGCAACGGGATTTAAGGCCTCAAGGACAGAAACACAACAGATGTTGCAGCTTGAGAAGTGCTGCCGTTGTTTTCAGAAAGTATCTGTGACCTTTTTTAAAGCACCTTGAAACAGAGCATCTAATACCAGACAGGTGATGTTTAAGTCTCACAGTGCTAACAATGCTGTATCTAGCTTGCAGCTTCTGGACATGAAAAGATATGAAAGAAATGCAGAAACTTAAGACAGCCTGGTGAAGGGCCACTGTGATGGGCACACGACCTCAGAGTTTTCATGACCCAGAATTCAATGACTTAAGGGAGAGGAAGTTAGGGAAAACCATGGGGATGTAGAGTCTTTCTGGTCTTCAGAGATGCCACATGCTAAAACCTTTTAAAAAGCACTTCTTAAAATTTCCATTCCTAGGAATGAAGAATGTTCTTGGTGTTCAAATTTAAAATCTGTTAGGTTGGGAAATTAGTGAATATTTACAAGAGAATGAAGAGGCATTTTAGAAGGGATGCTGGGTTTGCTGGTACAAGTCTCCCCAGCATCCACAAGAAAGCACTCACTACACTGGAAAACACCGTGAGACTTTGGGGCCTGTTATTGAAGGGAACTGTCCACGCTTCCTACCCATGCTACGCAACAGCTATTTATGACATGAAATAGGAACAACTGAAATACTCAGTGCAAATCTTAGAATCACAGAATGGCTGGGGTTGGAAGAGAACTCAAGGATCATTTAGTTCCACTGGCCCTGATGCAGGGAGGGCTGCCAGGTGCTCGCTCAGGTTGCCCAAGGGCCCTGAACTCCTTTGGGGATGGGGCTTGCACAGCTTCTCTGGGCAGCCTGTGCCAGCACGGTTATGTGACTGAAGGGTTCCACACACACTGAATGAAGCAGATCTCTCTTAAAGAGGACAAGCTTACTCCACAAGGATACACTGCTTGAGGGAAATGCAGGAGTTCTCTGCAGAATGCAAACAAATAAACACACAGAAGTAAACACAAGCATGCCTGTCCTTTAGACACCCACTTTTCAGTCTTTTTTTACAGAACTCCGATTGTATGCACCGCTACTCACACAGACGGTCCTCAGGAAGGAAACACACCGCAATTTCCATGCATTCGTCCAGGTATAAATGAGCAAAGGCCTCCCTCAGCCTCAGCCCCATCCCCGCCGTGTCCCCAGGCGCCACACCCGCAGGGACGCCCGCCCGCCCCCCGTGCAGCCCGTTCCCACGTGTGATCACTCTTTCCGAGTAGTTTTTCCCCGCGCCCAACCTGAAATCAGCTCCCACTTAAACACGGCACAGCGCTCTCGCGGCGGATCGCCACCTCAGATCCGAACCGGAGTTCCCACCCCGCGTGACGGGACGCGACGGGCCGTTCCCGCGCTCCCCTCGCCCCGCTCCCCTCAGGCACAGCCCTCCCGGCCGGGGGAGCCCACAGGGCCGGCGGCGCTGGGTCCCGCTCCACCAACCTAGCACACAGTCCAGGGAGGGGACCCCGCAGGAAATCAGCAGCCGCCCGTGACGGAGGGCGGGCCGAGTGCCGGGCACGGCGGCCAGGCGGCTGCCGCCCGAGCGCCGGAAGCTGGTGCTGGTGCCGGTGCCGGCGGTGGTGGCGGTGGTGGCGGCAACCCCTTCGCCCCGCGCCGCCCCGCCGCCCGCCGCCATCATCTCGGCTCGCCGGCGCCTGACAGGAGGCGGGAACCGCCGGGAACAGCGCGCTGCCCAATGGGAGCCCGCCTTGTTGGCGGGTGGCGGGCGGCGGTGCCGGGCGGGCCCGGCTGCGGGACGTAGGTGAGTGCGGCGGGCGGGCAGTGCGGCGGCGGGCGGGCGGTGCGGGCCGGGCTCCGTGAGCCGGCATTGAGGGACGGAGAGCGGGCGGGAAGGGGGTCCTGGTCGCTCCGCCCGGCTGTGTTCGGTCGCCTCAGGCGTCGGCGGGGCGGCCTGACCTCTGTGTGTGTGTGAGAACGGGTGGAAGCCCGCCGGGCTGCAACGTTTCCTCCGCTGCTTTGTGCAAAGAAATTAAAGTGTTTGCTGCCTTGTGGAAAGCTGCCCGTATGGTTATTCTGTCAGTCTGCAGGCCCTGTTGTGGCCGTGTGACAGCAGTGGGTCTTGCAAATGTTTGTATCTGCTGCCAAGTGCAATTGTACACACTTAATGTCCAGCTTAGTTTGTTACGAGTGGCAAGAAGCAAACGTAGCTGTGAAACGTTGTTCTGTGCGAACCTGCAGCAGTGCTCACAACCCTTCACCCCGTTCATAGCAATACATTTCCTCTTGCTGCTGCAGTGAAACACGTTTCTTGTTTTTAAACAAAGTGCACTAATGCAGCTCAAATTAAGTTTCAGAGTATGTATGAATGTTCCCGTAGTGCAGAACCCTCTCTTCTTCCATCTCTTTCTGTGACTGGTAGTTGTTCTGTTGCTTTTTCTCATCTCATTTCCCCACAAGGCAATTAAAAGTAGAGGCTAAATAATTGTCAGGCTGAGAACCTGAGTTCTGCAAGCACTTTGTGACTTACCTGTGCTATGCTCATACCATTTGTGGAATTTCTTGCATTAACTTTAGCCAAAGATACTGGAAATCTCACTATTTCCTGAGTCATAAGTCAGAGTTGCTAAAAGAGAAAGTCTTGTTTCTTTCTTTTCCTCTGCTTCCACTGATTGAGTCCAGCACACTTTGGTGCTTGTCAGATCCTTTCCAGAGCTGACTGATCTCATTCGTCTGCCTTGGAGCTACCTATCAGCCTTCAAAAGTCAACTTTGTGCTATGCTGCTGAGTATATGCAATAGGAAAAGGTATTGACACAGCAGGGAGAGGGGCATCGAACCTTCTTTCCTACCTATGAAATGTTGATTCAGCCCATACTTGTGAACCTCAGTTATTTCAAGATTTTCTGTATTTTATCATGAAGGGATACATTTTGTGAGCTAATATCCTCTCAAATGCAGAGAAAAAGTCTTAATGTTGTACCTTGCACTGACTGTTTCAGATTTTACTACAAAATTGTGGAGAAGTAGGAATAATTCTTTGATATAAGAACTGAGTTTCAGAAATTATTGCAGTAGTTCTGTTTGTGCTGTTGGCTTCTCCTCTGTCAAGGTATGTTTGCAATTGATCTGCAAGCATGTTTGCAGTTCTTCTCTAAAGTTGTAATTTGCAGATCTGGGGAAAGTGCCAGTGTGTGCTCAGAACAGCAGCACTTGTTCAAGTAAGTTTTAGAAGTGCTTGGTGGGAGGAAAGCACCTGCTGCTGTATGGCAAAGCGGCTTCCCTCCCAGCTCAGGAATGTGTCACATTAGGCCTGGTTCCAGCAGTATCGCACCAAACCAGATTAGTGCTGAGTCAGCTGACCAGGCAGGGCTGCAGTCACGTGACCCCATGCCCCACAGGGTCCTGCTGGGGCCTGAAACAAGGTAGTTTGCTTCTGGGATGTTCTTAAGTACCTAACAGCATGGGTCGTGGATTACGGCTGCAAAGAAGATGCCTTCATTTTCCCTGATCTTTGAACTGGTTAGAATGGGAAAAGTTTGAAAGTGCGGGCTCTTCAGGCCCTGAGCCAACAACTGGAAAGAATGTTTAATCCTGGAAGTTCCGACACTGAAAGGCTGGGCTTTTTTGAAGAGTGAAAAAAGCTTAAAAATGACTTATCCAATCGTTCCATGGAAAGCGTGAGGATTAGTGTGAGAGTTTGAGACATACCAATTGCGTGATATTACATACGATGCGATGGGCTTTTCTTCAGAAAGCCTTTGGATGTTACCTAAACGCTGCTGCGTGTTTTTAATACTGAACAATCATGATAAGAATCTGAACCTGTGTCGAAAGGGGATGTCTTTTAAACTGGAAGTGCATACATTAGGGCACGTGAGTTGATGTGGTGCGTTTGATGCTATGCCTCAGTGCTGAGAACAACGGCTGAGTAAATCTAGGTCGTAAAAACGCTATTACTGAGATGACCACTGTAATGTCAGCTCACGTCTTACCTGAGAGTAATGCAGAGAGCTGCTATAGCATGTTTTCCTAATGCTGGTATTGTATTTAAGGTTTAAGAACTGGCATATTGTGGATTTCAGAAGGGCGTTGTTTTCCTCTTTAAGGGGCATTATTCCAAATAATCCTGCTAGTTCTATGAATACTCTGCAGTACCAGCAGATATTGGAATATGGGCAAAGTTTAGTTCACACCTAATGGAGGGATTCCATAGAAGATGCACTTTTCTGGTTTAGCTTTTTTTTCCCCCATTGTCCTTGCAATACTGCAAAACCCGAATCCTGCAGAGTGCTTTGGCAAAGCTTGAGATCCGCCCCAATTCCATTCAGAATTCCTTTCAGAACCAGTCTCATTCGGAATTCCATACAGAATTCCTCTGAAATTGTGCTTCTCTCCATTTGCTGAAATATTTTTAAAGGTGTTTTTGCAGTGGAGAATTTTCCCTCCCTTCTGCTATTACCCCAAACCTAACAGCGCTCTTTCAAAGCTTTCAAGCTACTTCTGCAGTAGTTTCTGGGTTTAAAAGTTACAAAATCTGGATCGTAAGTCTTAGTTGTTGTGTGAGGAAAAAAGGAATATGGACTGATTTTGCTGAGAGTGATGTGAGTCAGAATTTGGTGGACTTCCATTTAGATTCACATCGTTGTGACTATCCTTGTGTGGTGAACCAACACGTTGCTGTGAAATAGAATTCTCTCAAATTGTGTAACTGCTGTGAGCAGAGATAGAAGCCTTGCTTGGTTTTCAAAAGACTGGTGCCTGCCTGTTACAGTTCAGCCTAGTTCTGTGACAAAGGGGCAAAAGTTCTGTGACAAAGGGACCCTTTAGGTTGTTTAGACTAGTAAATAATTATGCCATTAGGAACTAGATGAAGAAAATAGGTGTTTTTGACTTTAGTAGACAAAAATGAAAACTGAGATTATCCAAAGTGAGTTACAAAGTTACATAAAGCATAAACTCGCAGTCCAGCAAAGCTCACTTCAAGTACCAACAGCCAGACCCTCTACTGAGTGCTGAAGTTACATTGTTCCAAATCTGGAATAATGTGATGAAGAAAGTGGAAAACATTGGACATCTGGCTTCTTTGTAGCCAAGCCTTTCTTCAGCGAGCTTCCATTATTCTTTATCTCAATAGATTCTACTGCATCTACCTCCCGTTAGGAGGCTGCCGGTTCCATGCCAAAGCTGCAGCTTTTGCCAGAATCCCATCTCAGGAGCAGAGACAGCTACACAAGATACTTCTGTTCAGCATTTGCAAATCACAAAGGTCATCTGCTCATGTCTAACTCAGCAATGCGCTGCCTTGGGTCAGATATGGCCGGACAGCTAACAGTACTGTAACTGCTGCAGCATTCCTGCAACCATAGAATAACTGTTGGAATGAAGATATGAAATAATACATAGTGCTGTGTTGTAAATGGGAAGGATTAAAGACTGTGGTTGCTAGTGTAGAAGTATGCTTCTCTAATCATTTCAAAGATCTTCTGTGTTTTTGTGTTAAAAATGTGTTTCTGTTGTTTCATTGCAACGGGCTCTCTGTTTGGGAGGAAACAACACCTGAGCTTTTAGTGTTAAACCTTACAGCACTTGTCTATAGAATCTCTCAGTTCCCATCTTTTCATTCTCCATGAGAATTAGAGCTGTCTCTGTGTCCCATGTCAAAGGAAGGACTGTAACTGAGCATCCTTTAAATTTTTATCCTTTACATTTTTATGTTTCTGCCAGAGCCGTCGCACACTTCTTGAGCTGCATGTTTCCACCATCTCTCTTCATCAGCTGTGCTTGCTTTCATCCAAGAAATGTGAAGCAGCTTTTGGCCTTGATATTTTTATGCTCTTGCTTTTTTTTTCCTACTGAATTTTTAGCATTTCTGGTATAAAAGATCTAAAATGCACAACTGCTGGAAGATTTGCAGTCATCTTAGCGTACATGCAGCACTGTGAAAGGAGCTGTGGGAGCAGACACTGGCTTTCCTTTTGGAAGCGCAGTGTGTTATGAAGTGTAAGCCAGACTGTGTGCTTTTGGAACAACCCTCATGAGTAAGCTTAGATGGAATAAAATCTGTTTGCTTCGTAGAAACTTAGAAATGGTTTTTAAGAAGTCTTCAGGCGAGGAGATGCTTGACCATCTCTGTGCTGCTTCCCATTTCGCAAATATTCGCATCCCCATTTGAAATGTGGATTTCTCCTAGGTACCTGTGGCAAAATGAGCCATATGGGCCTTTTTTGGTAATCTCTCTGCTGCCTGTGGCAGTGCAGTTGGTGGGCCTGGAGCATGCTCAGCGCCGTGCGGGCACTCGGTACCTTGGCTTAGAACCATCCACTGCGTTTGAGGAAGGAGCCTCTGCTCATTTGATTTCCTTATCGTTGTGTCAGCTGTGCCTTTACTTTAAACCTTCGAATTAAATAGTAGTTTATGCTGGCTTTTTATTTTAGTTCATGCATTTTAAACCCAGAACTCAGATAAAAAGATAGTTCCAGAATAAATCCAGTATATTATTTATGAGTGGAGCAACACATTAGCATTGAGTTCACAGTAGATCATATCGCTTTTATTCCGTCTTACAAGCTTAGCAGCACAAACAGAATAATCAACATATTATTTGGCTGTCATCTGCTGAACAGAAACCAGAGATCACAAGGAGGTTTTCCCTAGCTGCAGTGATGGCCTTTTTGTTCCAAGCCCCCATCTGGGAGGGCCATGGTGTGTTATCATATGGAACGCGGGGTTTTCTGTAATCTGCTTAGCTGCACTGCAGTTTGAATCTTCATTCCATGTTTGTGTAATTTATAATTTTAATGAG